GAGAAAGCAAGCTGCCAGGTCTGGGACTTGAACCATGGTCAGCCATGTGGGAGTGTCCAGCACCTTAACCATCATGCCACCTGCTGGTCCGTAACTGGCTTCAATTTTTTTAAAAAAATTTTAACTTCTTTCTTGGGCTTCTTTTCACAGACTGGGTTCTTTCATATAATAGCATGAACTTTCTTATACATTTCCTCCATCATGTTTGGAGTTTCATTGTCTTTGTGTACTGAGCATATGGTGTCTTGTAAGCATCTTCATCTTCTTCCATTAGGTATACATATAACCCGTAATGTTCTGGCCCATGATGTGCTTCCAATGTACTTCTGCACTAAATTCTTTGCTTTCAGTATCATAACCAGAGAATTGTTTGGTTCTGTGAGGGAAAGATAAGCCTCCACCTACTGTTCCCTTCAGGGTCCCCAAAACTTTATTGCCAGCAGTAGTTCTAGCAAGGCCTACATGGCAGGTGAAGGCACCAGGCTGACCATCAATGCTTTCTATGTTGTACTCATCTCCAATCGCTTTCACTTGGCCTTCATAGATCTTGCCCATGCCAAAACTATGGAAAAGGCTGCAGGACTGCAGCAGGCCAGTACAATACACCGTGGCATGATTTGTCAGGCCAACGGTCACACCATGTTTTGGTAGTTTGTTTGCATAAACTGTGCAGAGACTATCATATCCCCCTCTATATGGGCATCAGCAACCTGCAAATGATATGTCTGTTAGTTACACAAACTGTCATCCTCTATTTGGGTGTGTTGTATTTACTTTTATCCTGATCACCAAGTGTTTCAGGCATAGTAATCAGTTTTACCTTCTCATCTTCTAAATTTCACTTCATATCTCTTAAAGTAGGCCTATTTTTGACAACTTTAATAAATCCCATCCTGTGAAATACAGATCTGTGTCTGCAGCTTGACACAGACCTGCAGGTCCTCAGGCACTACAGGGGGAAAAAGGTCATAGCATCCTGACTAATATCTTTCTATGAAGTATACATGGGTGGTCTATTTTCTGGATCTCTGAATGAAGGAAGTATGAAAATTCTCCCGTTTCACTGCCTGTGAAGAACAGGTTCGCAGGGTATAGGATTCTTGGGTAACAATAATTTTCTCTTTTTTTTTTTTTTTTGAGAGGTTTTTGCTATAGGGCGCGTGCGCTCGCCAGACAGAGAGAGACATAGAGACAGAAAGCGAAAAATCACCCCCCAGGGGGGATGGCCGCGCCGCAATCCCTTCTCCTCCATTCTCCTCTCGGGATCTTGGGCACACACGCACACACGCCCGGCATGAGTTTAAGCCACCGAGTCCGGGACTCGAACCGCGGTAGACTACATGGGAGTCCAGCGACATAGCCATTACGCTAACTGCTGGTCTCACAATAATTTTCTCTTGAACTTTGTGAATCTTACTTCACTGTATTCTGGCACTTGGTGTCAAAATGGAGAAGTGTGATATTTTATTTCTTTTCTTTGAGGCAACCCTTTTAAAAATAAAATGTCTTGGGACCAGCAGATGGTGTATTGGTTACATCGCGGGACTCCCAATGTAGTTAACCACAGTTCAAGTCCCAGACCCAGCAGCTTAAAATTCTTGCTGGGCGCTTGTGTATGCATGCCTAAAATCCTGAAAGGAGAATGGAGGAGAAGGGATTGCAGTGTGGCCATCCTCCTTGCAGGGGGTGATTTCTAGCATTCTTTTTCTCTGTGTCTCCAGCAAGCACACATACCCTAGGGCAAAAATCTCTCTCCAAATAAATAAATAAATAAATAAAATGTCTCAATGGGACCAGCAGTTAGCATAATGGCTATGTCACTGAACTTTCATGCAGTCGACCATGGTTCAAGTCCCGGACCCGGTGGCTTAAACTCTCACAGGGCGCATGTGCGTGCGTGTCCAAGATCCTGAGAGGAGAATGGAGGAGAAGGGATTGCAATGTGGCCATCCCCCCCCCCGGGGGATGATTTCTCTCTTTCTGTCTCTCTGTCTCTCTCTGTGTTTCTGGTGAGTGCACATGCCCTATAGCAAAAACCTCTCCAATAAATAAATAAATAAATAAATAAATAAATAGTCTCAGTATCAGTCAGATTTATTTTCTCTGTTCTTAAAATATTAAAATTCTGGGACTAGCAGATGGTGTAATGATTATGTCACTGGACTCCTACATGGATGACTGCAGTTCAAGTCCTGAACCCAGTGACTTGAAAACCATGCCAGACCTGTGTGTGTGTGTGTGTGTGTGAGCCCAAGACCCAGGAGGAGAACGGAGGACAAGGGGTTGCAGCATGGTCATCCCCTCTGGTGGGGGGGATTTCTCACTTTTCCTCTCACTGTCTCTCTCTCTTTCCAGTGACCACATGTGCCCTATGGCAAAAACCTCTAAAAATTAAAATAAAATAATAAATAAAAAGATATTAAAATTTTGGGGGCTAACAGATGGCACCATGGTTGGGGACCTGGACTCCCACATGGTTGACCGTAGTTGGAGTCCCAGACCTGTAACTTGAAAATCACGCTGGACACATGTATGTGCATGCCCAGAATCCTGAGAGGAGAATGGAGAAGGGATTGAGGCAGAGTGGTCATCACTCCTGGGCATTCTTTCTCACTATCTCTGTCTCTCTCTCTCTCCTGGGAGTGCACACACCCTAAGACAAAAACCTTGAAAAAGAAAACAAAGGATTGAAGGACCAGCAGATGGCTTAACGGTTATAGCCAAACACATTTCAAATCCCAGACACAGAGGCTTGAGACTCGTGCTGGGCATGTGCATACCCAAAATCCCAAGAGGAGAAGGGATTTTGGCATGGCCAGCCCCGCTGTGTGTGTGTGGGGGGGGATGATTTCTCACTTTCTGTATCTCTGTCTCTTTCTGACTCTTTGGTGAGGACACATGCCCCATAGCAAAAATTTCTCCAAAAAAATAAACCAGGATTGAATGTTAGATACTTTTGAATACTGAATTGAGCACTTTGTGGTGTATCCATGGTTGGTACTATATAGATATCGTGTGAAGAATGAAATAATTTGGAAAAAAGGAAGAATATTATATGATTTTGAAATATGTATTTTCAAAATTAGTAGCACTCCCTCTGCTGAATTACATTCCTGCCAAGTAGAAATTCAAGATACACAAGAGTCAATTTTAGCTTCTAGATGAGCAGTGTCTTCTAGACATAGTAATGCCTTACTGTGTCTCCTAGATAGAGATCAGATTGTGTCTTTCACATGGGAATTTCAAAGCAGTTTAAAGACATTAATTAATTCTCTTAACAGCTCTGTGAAGTAGGTGTGTTTTATCACATTTATTTTTCACATGAGAAGACTGACACACTGAATGTTATAGGAACTTCAAAAAGTTTGTGAAGGGGCTAGCAGGTGGTGTGGTTAAGGGTGCTGGATTTCCACATTGCTGACCGTGGCTCGAGTTCTAGACCTGGCGGCTTGCTTTCTCAATTTCCCTTTCTCTCTCCCTGTCTCTCTCTGGTCAAGTTAAAAAAATAATAATAGCAAATGGAATTAAATAAATAAATAAATAAATATTTTAGAAAGAATGTCTTTTTTTTAAAAAAAAAAAGTTCGTGAAAAATGGAATTAAGAGAGAAAAATAAGGGGCCAGCAGGTGGTGTGGTGGTTAAGGGTGCTGGACTCCCACATGGCTGGCCACGGTTTGAGTTCCGGATCTGGTGGCTTGCTTTCTCGCCTTCTGTCTATCTCTATCTAATTTAAACAAATAAATACAGTTAAATAAAACAATTCTTTTTAAAAAAGAGAAAAATAAAAAACATAAACTTTATCTCTTAACATAAGCTCCAGCAAATAAGACACTTTTGTAAGCAATATACCAATCACTTAGTCCATCCCTAAAGAACTGAAGGTCCTGTAAATTTAACTACTTGAACAAAGCCTTTTTAATTTGTGTGTGTGCGTGTGTATGTGTGCTTTAGGGTATGTGTACTTGCCAGAGAAAGACAGAGGCAGAGAGAAAGAGGAATCACCCCTCCAGAGGGATGGCCACACTGCAATCCCTTCTCTCTTTTCCTCTAGTGATTTGGGACACACATGCACATGCACCTGGCACGTTTTTCAAGCCACTGAGTCTGGGACTCAAACGGTGTAGTCGGCCATGTGGGAATCCAGCACCTTAACCAACATATCACTTGCTAGCCCTTTTTTACATTATTAACTGAAGAAAAATGAGTGTCCTTTAAAAATTTTTAAAGATTGGGGCCAGCAGATGACATAATGGTTCTGTCCTGGAGTCCATGGTCGTTGACCATGATTTGAGTCCTGGTCCCAGAGGCTTAAAACTCACCCTGGGCACATGTGTGTGCAAAATCCCAGGAGGAAAACAGAGGAGAAGGGATCGTGGCATGGTCGTCCTCCCTGCTGGGGAGATACTTTATGTCTCTCTGTCTCTCATTTCTCTGTTGAGCACATGCACCCTATAGCAAAAATCTCTCTTAGAAAAAAAAAAAAAAAAGATTAGGATGGGCCCGCAGGTAGCATGATGGTTGGGGGTGCTGGACTCCCAAATGGCCAACTGCAGTTCAAGTCCTGGACCTGGCAGCTTGCTTTCTCATTTTCCCTCTCTTTCTCGCTCCCTCTCTGATCAAATTAAAATAAATAAAGTTAAATAAAACAATTATTTAGGAAAAAAAAAAACTATTAGGAAACAAAGAGAAGTCCAAAGGAGACAAATGAGACTGTACAGTGGATACTTAATGATTTGCAGTCAAAACTTTCACACAAGGGTCTGGCAGGTGGCATGGTAGTTATGGGCGCTGGACTCCCATATGGTCAACTGTGGTTCAAGTCCAGGACATGGTGGCTTGCTTTCTCACTTTCCCTCTCTCTCTCTCACTCTGTCCCTCTCTGATCAAATTTAAATAAATAAAGTTAAATAAAATAATTCTTTAAAAATAAAAACCTCTCACATAATTGTCCTTGTTTGATGAAAGGGATGAGCAGGAACTTTTGTGATGGAGAAGTCTCTGGTGAAGCTTTTCCAAGTGCTTTTCTGCTAAAGCTTCAGCTAACTTTCTCAAAACACTCTCATAACAAGCAGTTGTTCTCTCTCTTTGGCCCTCCAGAAAGTCAACGAGCAAAACACCCCTAGCGCCCCAAAAAGCTGTTGTCATGACATTTGCCCTGTATCAACCCACGTTTGATTTGGCTGGAACACTTCCACCTCTCGGGAGCCACTGCTTTGTCTTTTGTCTTCAGGATCTTCCTGGTAAAGCCACGTGTCATCTCCTGTTAAAAGTTCTTAAAGAGGGGCCAGCAGGTGGCATGGTGGTTAAGGCACTGGACTCCCAAATGTTCAACCATGATCTGAGTCCTGGACCAAGAAGCTGGCCCTCTCACTTTCCCTCTCTCTCTCTCTATCAAATTAAATAAATAGTAATGATGAATGAAATTAAATAAAAATTAATTCTTGAATAAAACTTTTTTTTTTTAATGAAATGCTTTAGGGTCTTAATCTCACTTATTTAAAATTTTCATCTTGGGACCAGCAGGTGGCATGGTGGTTAAGGTGCTGGACACTCTCACATGGCCATGGTTCATCCTGGACCTGGTGGCTTACTTTCTCACTTTTCTTCTCTCTATCTCCCTGTGTCTTTCTCTGGTCAAAT